TATGGTCCCTTGAATTCTGCTGTAGAGAGAGTCCAGCAGTAAAAAAAAACTTTTTTTTTGAAGTCCTCATCAGAGGTGTCTTGCATGATCAAGGTAATTTCAAGGTATTTTACTTCATAACTGAGGCCAAGGTGAATTAACAATATAAAAGATGAATTCAATTAGAAATGTTTCAAATAAGAAAAGGGAAAAGCAGAGGATAAAACAAACCAAAAATAATGCTGACAAAGAGCAGCAGCCCAGCAAGCACAGTATTGGCCAAAAGAAAAGCACCTCCAATGAAAATCGGGTCTGAAATCACATTCCCCATGGTGTTAATGACGTAGACTCATTCATTTGACGCTAAGAATATCTATCAAAGAACAAGTTGAGTATGTTGAAGGTTATGGCTTATATGAGATAATTTTTTCTCAAATAGCTGAACCCTGCTTAGTTGTGGATAGAACGGCTTGCTTTAATTTTGCATACGGCTTTCTAATTACATTATTCAACAGCATCAAATTTACATTCATAATTCAGATAGGTGGTACTGAATTATGAACCAGCATGGCTTGTGTGTATCATTAAAAAAACTATATAGTGGTCCCTCATAGTCAACAAACTACTTGGTTAACAAATGTTTTGGCTGATACAATTTTTTCTTTGTGGAAAAATCCCTGTTAACAAACTAAAATGTGTTTAACAAACATTTGCTCCAATATAAAAAATCTGAATTCAATAATTCCAAATTTGATGACTGTAAAAGTTTAAAGTGCCATTTAATTGCAGTTCAAATCAACACTTGAAGCCGAAAAATTATTAGGCAGACTAAAGGCTTTCACAAAATTTTAAATGTTTTTCAAAATTGTGTGAATTAGGGTTCGCTTGTTGTTTGAGCAGAATTGTTTGAACAAATGATATCCAGAAACAAGAAGCCGGGGAAAAAGCACTTTAAAACTGATTTTTCTATAGTTTCCACAGTTCAATTTCTGAAATTTTCTTTACATAATCTGTGTTATTACAATGCTAAAAGTGTTACAATATTAACATTCGTTTCTGGTGGCATATTATCCAGCTCGTATGTGAACTTGTTTCTGGATGCAAAGCTTTCTGAATCCTGTTTCAATTATTTATCATAGTCCCATTGAACCCTAAAAAAAAACAGTGTAAACTTACAGAGCATGTAACAATAACTAATTCTGATTCAATATTTATCCTGAAATTCTTGGATTAAATTTGCAATTTCATTTTTGGTGCCAGGAACGGATTAATTGATTCTCCATTCAAGTCTTGGGGAAAATCAAATTTAGGTAACAAACTTTTGGGTTGATCCACTTTTGTCTGCAACCAATCAAGTTGGGTAACTCAGGGTCCACTGTACTGCAATTGTACTCAACTCCTCCAACCCCCTCCCTGGTGAATGTAGTCTAGATAGTTCAGAATAATAATGTATGAGAAAGTAACTCTCATATAGTGTTCTTCATCCTGTCCTTTTCCCCATGCCTCTTTGGTTTACCTTTTGGAAGTCAACCTCAACACTGCCATGGTTACACTGAGCACCTGTCCTTCATTTCTTCCCCAAATACTGTACATATACCAAGAATATAGTTCAGAATGTGTAGCCAACGCTCTCCGTGGTACAGCCGGTCTTTCTTCCATTTCCCCTACCTCGCTATATGCCTTTTTGGATTATTTTTCTTCATGTTAACATGCTTTCTGAATACTGTATTGGAGTATTGCTGGTTGATCTGTCCTTCCCTTTTATTTTTACCAATACGGTATATTATTCATTCCTGCTTGGGGACAGAGGAAGGGAGCGCTTCTGGCTGGACGAGAATCCGAGGGCGTGTTCGCCACGCGGCACACAAGGGCTGCGACGAGTTATCAGTGCTGTTCCAGTTCGTGGCTGTGTAGAGCATAGTTCAGTTATGACATTAATTCAGTGCACATATTTTGATGCATTTCATTTTCAAATTTTTGCCCATTTCATCACGGAATATTGGGGATGTGTCATACTCAGGAATGGAAAATTATCCAAATTTTAGGACCAGGAAACAAGGAGCACATCTTACTCAAGGGTGTTTGGTAATCACAAGAAATACAAGTATGTTAACTTATATTTTAGTTAGTAAGCTATGCTGTTCCAATTCTAATTAATCTAGCTTTTTAATCTTCATGGATAAATTAACTAATTCTGACATCTGGAAATGCATGATTGAAGCTTATTTTTGGGGCAGAAATAATGTTCTGGCAGAGGTATCTAGCAAATGTCCCTGAACAGCCTTTTCAATTGGGATGAGTTTACTAACATATGCCTGATTATTGTGGGTTTAACCCTTTTGTGGCAAAGGGTTCTTTCACATCCCAGGACTAAGTCAGGATTTTCTTGGGTGGGCTAACATTTCATGTTTCTTGAAGGACATGAAAGCCAAGCCAGGTGGCCTGGGGCAAAGTCAGGCTTTGTCTGGCAAAAAGATGTTGCTAATATTTCCCAAAGTTGGAATTTTTCCACAAACCTTTTTTTGCCTCTGAATGAGAATCCTTCTTCTGTCTCCCAAATGATGGTGATGAGAATCTCAGAAGAATGCAAATAATCCAGAGAGAGGCTAAAAAAAGCTAAGCCTCAGTGATGCATTTTTTTATTTTTGTGCAAAATGCTTCTGTGGATTTTACAAAAATGCCCTGCAATTTTGCTGGACTTTGCACTGGGTGAACTGTTGCTTTTTTTTAATCTGTTCACACATACACAACATTTTGGAGAACAAGTCCGACTTTGCTGCCCAAGGGTTCAAGACTGTTTATAGAAGCATGTAATTATTAATATGCATCCAAGCAAAGCTGTTTTCATCGGATTGTGCGCATGAATTGACTATCATGTAATCCTGTTTTGCCCAAAAATATTGCCATTCATCAATTTCCCATTGCTTCACTTTGGCATATTTTTAAGCCACGCCTATAAACTTCTGAGCCCAGTTCATTTGGTTTATGGTTAAAGGAAAATTGAGCAGTCCGTATAGTTGAGAAAATAAACACGAGGCATGGAATGATGACAGTCCTTACTCACAGAGACACAGGTTCCAGCATGTGTGAGATTCCACATTTGTTCCTCATTGTGAGTGAGTCGCGCAGTGGAACAGCATCAAGTTTTCCTTTGATTATGTCGTGGGGGGAAAGGTTGTAACGCCGAGCACAGAAATCGTTTTCCTTGACTTCTTATTCCCTCACGTTTTCGGAGGGCATGTGTTGTTGAGCCCGGATCCAGCTGCATGCTGGCGCAGAGTTTCTCAGCTCCGTTTGTGCCTCGTGTGAAGAGTGAAGACTGAAGAAACAGTTTCAGATCGGTTACGGAAGTGTTCCTTTTTTTTTTCGTCAACGTCTGGAAGATTCCATTAAAGTGGGCTCGCGATTCTCGTTAACCGTACAAAGAGAGAGGAGTGAAAAAACTGGTATTGTTTTCCAGGGTATCGCCGAACTCGGGGATTGTTCAAGGATTGATCGAATCCTTTCCTTTTGGATTGATTGGAAGCCTGGATATTATTTGACAGAGAAGCAAAATGCCTGAACAGGGGTCGCTGAGCCATCATACACCGGACATCGAGGTCAGCCTTATTTAAATAAATTTAATATTAAAAAAAATAGATCAAAATCAGGAAATTGTTTTGTACGAATATCGGATAGCATTATGGTTGGTCGAATTACTGTATTCTCACCCCGAGTGACTTAACGTAGCTATAAATGTGAAATACCAATTTATTTCATATGGGCTTTTTAATTATTATTAACGTTACTGTATTAACTTTTAGAATCTCTTGGTCCTGAACCCGAAAACGTCGCAGTTTGCGAATTGTGTCCCGAGCAAGACGACGAAGCACGAGAAGAAACATTGGAAGCGAAACCACGACAAGTCCTGTCATGTAAGAATTTTTTTTCAATTTCACAATTTTATTATCCAAATGCAGCAATTGATCGTTTCAAAAGTATTAGGACTACAGTAGCCGTCAATTGTAGCATTTACCTCTGGCTGATATGGATAGACTATTTCCTAATTTACAAAACTGAGAGAAAAATAAATAAATCCCGGAGAAATCTGGATTATTTTTGGTATGCTTCAGTCAAGATTTATGTAGGAAGATTTATTTTTCGGAATCAATTACAGTAATATGCATTTTTTTCTTTTTGGGTCAGAATTCATAGGTCTTCAAGCCTTTTACAATTTTTTTCTATAAATAAATGAATGACTTGATTTAGTCAATAAGTTGCATTTGTATTTCTCANGCACACCATAGCACACCATAGCACACCATAGCACACCATAGCACATCATTGCACAGTTCATTGTAATTTCAACAGTTTATTGTAACTGTTAAAATTACAGTTTATTGTAACTGTTAAAATTACAGTTTATTGTAACTGTTGAAATTACAGTTTATTGTAACTGTTGAAATTACAGTTTATTGTAATCCTTTGGAGCTAGATGATCCAGCTCCAAGAATGTATTTGATTCTGAATTTGTTACAGTAAATTGATGTTGAACATTGCTGAAAATTTTCACTAATCAAAAGAATTGTTTTTCAGAGAAAATGAATCAAGAATTATTTCAGCATCAATAAGGTAGAAGAAGGTCAGATTTTTGAATGATGGAAATGTTGGGGAGGTTTTTTACACAAAAAATGATTTCCTGAACTCTTTTTAAACCTCAAAAATGCTCCAGATCCTAATTTTCTTAAGTAATCTGATAATACATCATTTTAGTATAAGTAGCATGAGTATTTGCATTATACCTAGCTTGTGAGTGCATAGCTAGATGTGAAGGTGACTGACTCTCACTCAGATGGCCCCAGTTCGAAACCCAGGAGCATCATCAGGACAGCAGATTCAAAGCAAAAGAACAGCAGCAGGAAGGAACATTGTGAACAGAAAGCACACAGAGATGAAGTAAAGAAGAAAGAGGAAAGAGTATAACACAAAGAAGGCAAAATAAAGAAGTAAACAGCAGCAGTTTAATGGGAATTTTTTTTTCTACTGCTTTTCAGACATGGGGGGATGCTTTTATTGGGGAAGTTCCCCCAAACTTTGCTGGCTTGCGTTGGGAACCCATTCTAACATGCATTGGCCAACGTTTGGGAGAACCTCCCCAACGTTTGCCAGAATGGATTCCCAATGCAAGCCAGCATGCCTTGGCCAATGTTTGGGGGAATGCCTGCTCTCAGCAGACATTGGGCAGTGACCAAACGGCCGTTAGCCCAACGTCAGGGTCACAATGACTTTCCAATGGGGCTGCAACGCAGGTTGAAATGGCCAAATTATTTGCTAGGTACTCAATAGAAGAAAATGTCTTTGACACTGAGAGGGTTCATCATTCAATTAAGCAATGTTGAATTCAAAGTAAATCGACTCGAGATTAATTTCAGTGATATTTTTCCACGCGCTTTTTTCCTGACTCTTATGAAAGTGAACTTCATCTCTGCCAGCAGCAATAAGTAAGAATATTCTCATGGTCCTGGATCGTAACGCGTTTTTCTTAATTTTTAAGGGTTCAGACGATGAGGTCTTATTCTTTTCTTCCGTTCATAAATTTTTTTAGCATTTGTTCAAAATTCTGTGAAGATGCACATTTCGAAAAAAATAAAAAAGAATTAGTTCCACGATTATTATAATTTTCTTAGAATTACTATGGAGCAGCTAAAGCAATCCTGAGTGACAATCCACTGGGTTTAACGTGTGGCATGGTTTGCCCTACAAGCGACCTCTGTGTCGGCGGGTGTAACCTCTACGCTTCGGAAGAAGGTCCGATCAACATTGGCGGTTTGCAGCAGTTTGCCACCGAGGTAAATAACTCACACCTATCACGACAAGAATCACATGATGAATGCTGTGCTATTTTATGCAAAACTTTTTCCTGATAATTGATGTTGATGAGTGACATTTTTCGCCGCTAATTTAATATTTTTTATTGAGAAAATTTTTGAAGGTACAGTATTTTCTATTTATGCTCAAAATACGGTTTATCGAGAAGTTTGGCTGTTTATGCGACTGCAGAGCTCGAAGTCTTAAAATATGTGCTGTAAATTTGAAATTCAGTATGCTATTGCTACAATTTTAAATCCTTTGAGTTTGTTTACTACGTTCTTAATTCCTAAAAAATTGCGAAGAATATAGGCCAGCGATTGTTACATCGTAGAATTCATAATGAAAGATGAATTCTACGACATGACACGCCTTCGAAAATATGTTCATCAATGAACCTAATTTGAAAATATTGCCTTTTTCCGTCACGATAATGTCAACCTTTTATGTTTTCCGAAGGCTGAAAATTCATGAAGTGAGTTTTCAATAATTCCTCAACTTCAATTAGCTTGAAGATCAGGGAGAAATCGTATTCCATATTTTTGGAATGGACGTGGTCATGTTCAGAAATTCGAATGAACGTCGCTATTTTCGCCACTTATTCTGTTCGCTCATTTTTCGCTGCTTAAGCATTCTTGACGAAACTTTTTCTGAATGATTTAGGTGTTCAAAGCTATGAACATTCCACAAACGCTGACACCAGCTGTGGAGCAAAATTCGAATCACCCGTCGTACACTGAGCCAAAAATTGCACTCATTGGCTGCGGTCCTGCGTCAATTTCATGCGCATCATTTTTGGCACGTTTGGGCTACAAAAATCTCACAATTTATGAGCGTCAGGATTACGTTGGTGGACTCAGGTGAGCTTGATACAATTTAGAAAATTAAATTCGAATCACAATTTTCTGCATCTTTTTTTTTGCCAAAAGTTCTGCGGAAATTCCGCAATACCGTTTGCCTTACGACGTTGTAGATTTCGAGCTCACCTTGATGAAGGACCTTGGAGTGACTGTTGAGACTGGCAGGAGTCTGTCCACAGATGATTTGACTGTCATGGTCAGTTGATAAAGCATTTCTGCAAATTTTAACCCTTTTTTCCACAGCAAATTCCGGTATAGCGAGTTTTGCTTTTAAAATTTGTGTTTTCTAAGTCCCGGCAGAGATTGGATACATTTTTTGCTTGTTCAAAAATGCAGATTTAATGAAAAGAACAAAACAGCGCAAGTTTGTAGAGAAAAATTCCAGAGAGAAATATATACGCATATATAGTAGACTAGACTAGAGTATATTAATATTCTTCACTGATGCAAACGCCAAATTTGAGCAGGAAATGCTCAAAGTTTCGACCTCACTTGCCAAAAAAAAAAACATTGTTCTGTACGAAGTAAAAATGTATGCTTCAGTGTACATGCTGAGAAAAAAGTAAATAAAAAGTTCTTCGAAACGTCAAGGCCACGTCATTTTTATCAACGAATTTAGTATGGAACGAACTTTAAAACGTGTCCATCAACCGGATTTGCCTTCCACACTCTGCTGTATACTGTGCTGAATATTTTATTATTCTTTTTGCAGAAGCTGAAAGGTGAAGGGACTGATGCGATTTTCCTCGGATTAGGCCACCCAGAACCAAAAATCATCCCGGCGTTTCAGGGATTGACTCATGAGCAAGGATTTTTCACGTCGAAAGACTTCTTACCCGTTGTTTCATCTGCCAGCAAACCAGGTGAAAGACAATGAAGCCAAAAATACTTATATATCTTCATTTCATTTTACGCTCAGGTAAAACTATAGGAGTGACAAAAAGTTTTCACAATTGACACTGTTTTTTGGCAGTGGAAAAATACTGTTTGATGCAAAATACTGTATATGCAGTGAGTAATTTTTTGAGCCAAGATTTTCTGCTAAAACAGAAAAGAAATTTTTCTTTTTCAAACTAAATGCCTTTTTTCAGAATTTACGGTTTTATGTTCAGCGCTCATGGACACACAATTATGAAAAAATACAATCAAATCCCATGAAGACACCCCTGATAAAGCGCCACCCTTGACATCTGCCAAAATTTTGAATTAAATATATCTCCTCGTTGTTAAATTCTATAGAAAACCTTGTTAAGACGTCAATTGCCATCTCCCAGCATTAGTGATGAAACAAAAGTGCCGTTTCCTATCAGTTTTTTCTTTGTTACAACGCCAACAATGGGGCAGAATTATAATTTATGACAAGGATTTTGTATTTTTAAGAATAAAAAAATAATAACGATCTTTTTTTTGAAAATTTTGAACAATATATTGATCTAATTTTAAAATTTGAATAAATTGACGCATCAAATTTTTTTTCCAATCCATTGATCACAGCAATACTCTTTAGAAAATTACTGAAGTTTCTATACAAAACCTGTATCTCTATGACTTTTGGAGGAAAATGGAATATTTTCGATAAAATAATTTAAAATTAAATATTTGATTAACCGCCAACTTCTTTAAACTGCCAAAATTGCTTTGGAAAAATGGTGGTGTCTTAATGATGGTTGGAATGCATCCTGACTTTGCTGCAGAAGGATGACATTCCTAAATGCTTCTCTGTGATTTCAGCCAAATTTCCTGCTGGGAAAGAAAAATATTGGACTTTTTCCCTACTTATGCTTTGGTTCAAAAATTGGGTTTTCTTTTTAAATTTTCAGTGCTCACCACTTTGCAAACACTGTATACCCTGACATTGCTGCAGAAGGATGACATTCCTAAAGGCTAGCCAAATTTTCTGCTGGGAAAGAAAAAGAATTGGACTTTTTCCCTACTTAGGCTTTGCTGGTTCAAAAATTGGGTTTTCTTTTTAAAGTTCCAGTGCTCACTATTTTGAAAAAATATCCTGACTTCGCTGATGCAAAAGGGTTAAAGTCCTAAATGATTATTTTTAAAGACAAGATTCTACTTTATTATCATCATTATTATTATCATTGCATTTTTAATTAGGAATGTGTGCCTGCAAGAGCAACAGCTTGGCATTGCCCAAACTCCATGGCAGGGTCATTGTCCTGGGAGCCGGGGACACGGCCTTTGATTGCGCCACTTCTGCTCTTCGATGCGGCGCCAAGAGAGTCTTCGTCGTTTTCCGCAAGGGATTCACCAACATCCGAGCAGTTCCTGAAGAAGTACGTCGATTTATTCGATCACACTAATGCCAAATTTCAAAATGAAATATTGCATTTTAAGCTAGAGATGATTCCAAATGATCGCCACTACCGCGTAAAAAAAAAAAAGGAAGAAAATTGGGGTTTAGAGGGTACGCAAATATTTTTACATCGAATCGTTGACATCAGTGTAGCGAAAAAAGAGCAAGATAAACATATGCGAGGTTTGCATGAAATAATTTTCAGATTATGCGTTGGAAATTGAAGAGATTTCATGCGTGAGCCACAGGTTTTTAGAATCCATCAACCAAAATATGAACGATTCTTTTCCGCAGCCAATTGATTCCCTTCAATGCAATTAGGGTATTAGGGTTCAATGCAATTCATGTAGGGTTTAGACTTTAGAGTTTAGAGGGTACGCAAAACTTTGGACATCGAATCGTAGACATCATTGTCGCAAAAAAAGAGCAACATAGACATATGCGAGGTTTGCATACAATAATTTTCATTTTGTGCATTGAAAATTACGGGGATTACATAAGTGAGCCACAGGTTTTTAAAACCCATAAACCAAAGATTCCAAAATATGAACGATTCTTTTCCCCCGCCAATTGATTCCCTTCAATGCAATTACATGTAGGTTATATATATCCTTGCCTTTCGCCAAGGGAAAACTGAGATTCAAAAGTAATCTAAAACTGTACCGCTAAAAAAGAAAAACTGCATCATAAAGGAATAAATGCAAGCTTAAGAAAGCAGAAAATTCGAGCATGCATATTCTACAGCAGCCTATTGAAATTTTGACCTTGAGCAACACACACTGCTGTGGTTGGTTTTTAAAAGAAATTCCACAAGACTTTTTTCCGAATTTAAAGAAAACCGAAGTGGAAGAGCGATTACGCAGCTCCCAAGCTAGATTGGATTTTTTTAAAGTCAAAGAGGGATAAAACTGAGACAACAGGCAACCGTGCCAGTTTGAGTGAGACTGATACTATATTCATGATTTCAAACACCTTATATACACAGAACAACAAGCATGAGCATATAGGCACTTCTCAACAATAAATACTTGGGGCATTCAAAAAGAAGAATACAGTTTTTCAGCTACAAGGTTTCACCAAAAAGTTCAGGCTGCAAGTATGAACATGTGTATTCTCTAAAATTGAATTTCATTCATTGTTGGCCAGATGACTAAGTTTCTATACATACTTGGAGGTGGATTTCATGTTGCATTTAATTCATGCAACACACTGCAAATGCAACAAATAATTTGCCCAATCATTGCAATGTTTTCCATCAGCTGTGGGTGATTATCAAATAATCTTTCTTGGGAAAAAAGTATGCTAATCTTCACCCAGCACCTGTTGCAAATCAGAAATCGGAATAAAACTTTTAAAGCAAGCCTCTGAAACATTCAGCTGTCCAAGGACGTCGCGTCACTAGACGAACGACTCTATTACAATTTTTTGCATCCAATTTAATTTTTTGATTGATCATTAGATGGATTTGGCCAGAGAGGAGAAATGTGAGTTCCTGCCTTTCCTCGCTCCAAACGAGGTCATTCTCAAGGACGGAAGAATTGCTGCTGTCGATTTTGTGCGAACTGAACAGGATGATGACGGAAAGTGGATCGAAGACGAGGAGCAAACAACGAAGGTCAAGGCTGATTTCGTCATTTCTGCCTTCGGTTCTGGGCTATACGACGAGAAAGGTATGTCATCAATTTTTTATTTCATAAAAATCCAGATATCCAAAAAAAATAGTGGAGAAGTTTTTCCAACAGCAGCGCGTAAGACTAGAGGATGACTCGGAAAACCAAATCCCGCTTTCCAAGAAAATGTGAATTTTATTATCGTTCAAATCCTTCCTTTTTTTTGTTTCACATGTCTGTCTGCCGATTATTATTGAAACCTAAAAATACATTTTAAATAATTCTATTCTCTCAAGAAATATTTCCTTCAACTTCCCTGTAGTGTACATGTGTTCAAGTTTTTTTTTTTAATTCATGATCAGCAGGTACGAACAGTCGCACACCCCACTTCACTTTTTCCGCTTAATTTTTACAGAAGCTTAATTTTTAATTAAAAATGTTTGACCCTTAAAACATCATGGGCAACATATAATAATAATATAATAAAATGATAATAATATTTATACCGTAATAATATATGTATAATGATAATATTTATAATAAAAAACAAAAAATATTTATGTAATGATAATAATAATTAATATTTGAAAAAATTAATATAATAATAATTAATGTAAGAATTAAAATAATAATAATATTTAATATAATAATAATATTTAATATAATAATAATAAATGAATATAATAATAATAATAAATAATATCATAATACAGTAATAATTAATATCATACTAATAATTAATTTCAGAATACTAAGTAATGTCATGATAATAATTAATATCATAGAAATAATTAATATCATAATAATCAATATCATAATAATAATTAATATCATAGTAATAATTAATATCGTAATAAGAATAAATCGTAATAATATCATAATTTTTTTTACAGTCATGCCTACTCTGGAAATAACCGAGGTCGCGCCCAAAAGGGGACAGCCCTCGTTTACATTACTACAAATACGTTTTTATTTTCAAACTCAGACCTTTTCTGTCGAAATTTCAATACAGTATTTATCCTCTTGTATTCCTTTCCCATCAGTCATTCAAGCCATGCAACCCTTGAAGCTGACTGACTGGGGCACGCCGGTCGTGGACCACACCAACATGTCGACGTCGGAACCCGGGGTGTTTTGCGGCGGTGACGTGGCTGGTGTCGCGGAAACAACCGTCGAGTCTGTCAACGACGGCAAAGTCGCCGCGTGGCACATGCATGTTTACCTTCAGGCCCTGCGGGGTAATCGAGTCCCGTCGTCATCTGTCCCCTCATTGCCGAAATTCCACACCCCGATCGACGACGTTGACGTGTCGGTGACTCTTTGCGGACTCCGGTTTGAGAACCCCTTTGGACTAGCTTCTGCACCCCCGACAACGACGTCAGCCATGATTCGGAGGGCCTTTGAACAGGGCTGGGGGTTTGCCTTGACCAAGACCTTTTCGCTGAACAAGGATGTGCCGACGAATGTGTCGCCGAGGATTGTGAGAGGCACGACGTCGGGAGAGGTGTATGGCCCCGGGCAAGGCGCCTTTTTGAACATTGAGTTGATTTCCGAGAAGACGCAGGAATACT